GGCCTCGGATGGTCTTTGCCACGGCTGGGCATCATCCCGGGCTAATCAGGACAGAAGCAGATGAGCAAACCCACAGAGAAGGATTGTATTTAGCCAGGGCTTTAACCGAGGGGAACCTTGCTGCAACTGGGCTTCAGTGCCCGGTTCCCCAGCCCAGCCGGAGGGGAACTGCTCCTTTGCTGAAGCTGGCGGTGTTACATCAAAGCTGAGCTTGGCCCCACAAGCTCTGCGCAGCCTGAGACCATGGCAGCCCCTGCCAGACTAAAGCTGCTGCCACCCTGGCAGGGTGAAGCGGGGGTGAGGGGCATGCACGCGCTCCGATTACACAGCGGTGACTGGCACGGGACCGCCCAGGACGTGGCTTACCACGGAGGCTGAAGCCCTGAGCAGAGTGTGGGTTTGGCCTCGAACTCAAGCTAAACCAAGCAGGACTGATCTAAGATAATGCCGGCACCCGCATGCCACACACATGTGCGAGAGGGACGGGAGAGCTGCACGCCTGCCCAGTGCCAGGGGATGCAGTCTGCAGACTCCCTCCCGCTGCCACCAGTTGCCCGCATGGCACGCAGCGCTCCTGGCAAGGACATCTTAGTGCCATGCCATCCTTCTCCCCTGCCAAGGAAAACCAAGGCTGGCGTTAGCAGAGAAGCCGCTGAATCCTCACAGAAGAGTCGGGACGCTTAGCAGGGCATCAAAGCGACCTTGATCACCGAAATCTTCTGGCACGGGCAATGGCTGGACTTATTCATACACTATAGATGGGCGCCCAAGTTAGCTGCGAGCATGTGTAGCGGCGGTGTCATGGTGTTACAGGAGTGAGGATGTTGCTGCTCTGATTCCACCCTGCTCCTTGCAATCCCGTCACCTGTGGCCCCCCCAAAATGCCGGGCGGCTTTTCTCTGCAGCATCCAATCGCTGCTCGGTCCGGTTGCAATGCGGGGGAAAGAGGAGAGATTGCTGCATATGCAGTTGGAGGCAGATGCGGCTCGGCATGAGCAATGCTATAGGCACTGGAGCCACCGAACCACGCTCAAGGATGGTACCCTAATGTGGTGGGTGGTGGGCACTGACTCTCCCTCGTAGCATAGGACGCAGGACTGACGGGGTCCCGTCCCCTGTGTTTGCAGGTAACCATTTACTAAGGACTTCCCCCAAATCCTCCCACGCAGCCACAAGGGACAACACGAGCAATACCAAGGAAGTCCCACAACGCGCCACGGGAGACATGGGCACTGCCGATGCCTGGCATCCCCAGGAGAGGGGTCAGGCACCGAGCCCGCGCCTACACCACGCAGGGTCCCCACCTCGCACCTTGGCGCCAGTCCAGCGAAGCACTCAGACCCTGCTCCCGCTGCCACTGAAGTCAACACGGGCCCAGCCACGGGCTTCGCTGGGGGTGGAGGCAGGATGGTAAGCCCAGGCTTAAGTGCTTTGCTGGCCTGGGAGTGCTAAGCCGAAGCACATACCAACACCCCCATAACCCGGGAGCAGGGCTGGCTGGCTCAGAGCCGCTGGCCCCGGCCTTCGGGGGACACAGCGCGGCCTCTGCAGAGCGCAGCCAGCCCCAACCCCGGCGAGGACGCGACAGGGCCGGTCCCCCAGGCAGCTCCGGCCCCATCGCACGGTTGCTTCGGTGCGGGGGGTGGCGTTAGTCGAGGGGGATGGAGATGAAATGTAGGCGCCCCTGCAGATAAACAGCCCGGGCTTCCCACCCCGTCCCCTGAGGCTGCAAGGATGGCCCGTCTCCCCAGCCCATGAGCCCACACGCAGGCACCGGAGAGCAGCTCTGCTCTGCAAATAGCGCGCAGGAGCTAAGCCTCCCCGGAGGCACTTGGCTCCGGACCCGGGCAGGGCCAGGGGCGCGGCGGTTGACCTGTGGTCTGCATGCCCACCCAGAGCCAGCCTGGTACTTGGCACCCGAGACGGTCCCGATCGAACAGGCTGGTTACGAGACCCCCCGAGCAGGGTCGAAGGAGAGCTCTTGGGGCTAAGTGTCACCCCCCATTGCCACCCAGCAGGCCCCTACGCCGGGGCACTGGACAAGAGATAGGCACCCCTCTCCCGGGGGCCCGCAGTTTCCTGCCGACCCCCTGGCCCTGCCGGCACCGCCTCTCGGTTCGCCGTGGTGCCCTCCCACGCTTGCACGCGTGCGGAGGAGCCGATCCCCTTGCAAGCGTCCGCCCCGAACGAGCCTCGCAGCCTTGGCGGAGCCGAGCGTGGGCCGGCAGGGGAGGGAGCGGGGCGGGAAGCCGGGCCACTGGGTCGGCTCCAAGCACGCGGCCCCTTCCAGCCCGCATGACAGCATGGGCCCGGGGGCCAAGATAAACCCGCCGGGTGCCATAACCTGGCCGGGCATCGCCTGCCATCAGCAACCACTGGAGCACAGCGGCGGTTTCGCCTCGGCCCCCACGGCCTCGCTTGACCCCGGCCTGATTCATCGCCCTGGCCTTGACGCCGGCTGCAAATGACCGCTGCAAGGCACTCTGGGGGTTTGGCCAAGGGATGCTCTCCTGCTGCCGAAGGGCCGGGCAGGGGCGTTGTGGGGCTCGGAGGGTCTGCAAGATGCTCCGGACGGGGTTGGGGCAGCCCCCCTGGGGGGGCTAGCGGAGACTTCCCTGCACGACCTTGGGGGGATAACGGCGCACAGCGGGGATGTCCCTTGAGCAAAGCAGTGGCCGAGCTGCACCCCAGCTATCGCCCAGGCAGGAGGGTCCCCAACAGGCAGGTGCCAGGGGAGGCTCTTACCGTGCTACCCCTGCCCCGAGGCACCCGGGAAGGAGCAGCCCCCACCCTGCTCCTGGCATGCAACCCCTGCTCCACTTGGCCCCCTGCTCGCTGCCCTTCTGAGTCAGCCGGGGCTTTAAACACCCCGGAGATGTAAACAGTCCCTGCTTTACAAGGGATTCCTGGCAGGCGATGAGGTCACCGAGCCCTGCTAATCGGGGACAGATGCGGCGCGGGAGTCCATCTCAAGCTGAGTCCTTCCAGGGGAGGGGGCGGCCGTCTCCCTGTCCCCTTGCAGGGGCTGCCTGAGCCCCACGGAGGAGCGGGGCAGGGCTTGCAACCCGCCGAGACGAGCGAAGGGATAGACACCTCCCTACAGACACCCTCGGGCCCCCCTTAGCTGCTGAGTGCCTCGTCCATAAAGGGAAAGCCCCAAAATCACAGAGCCGGCTGCCACGCTGACTGCGTCCTAGGCCCTGCCTTGTCCTGCGCTGCCCTCGCTAGCCAAGAACAGGAGCCGTTGGGACAGCACCCCAAACATCGCCCAGGGGAGCGGAGTGAAGCCAAGGCTCTTGCCCAAAGCAATGGACCCGGGGGGGGGCTGTGCTAAGAAACATGCCCAAGGTCACTGCAGGGGTCGGTGGCAGTGCCAGGATTGGTGCCTGCTTCTCCCGCATCCCAGCGCAGTGCAAGGCCACTCAGATCCTGGCGGTTTGCAGCGCCTTGGCTGCCTCCTACAATGGCCCCGAGGGCACTGGGTGAGCCTTGAGGGCCCCTGAGACACTGCCCACCCCCCCCAGCCCCAAGCTGGCTGGCCGGCCTGCCCCTTGGGCACATCGAAGGCCTGGGAGCCGTGGCCCGACGGACGCGAGCCACATCTCGCTGCTGTGCTTTGCCACGTTTTCTCAGCGGCCTGCTCTTCTGCTTCACATTTGGATGATTAAAGGCTCCGTGCAGCCCAGGAATGTGCGGCGCTGCCCCTCCCGCCCCTCCGCGACTTGCCACTTCCTGCCTGCAACTAATTTAACATCCCCAGAACCCTCTGCGGGAAACATCCCTGCACGGAGCTGGCGGGAACGGGATGCTGCGCCAACGCCGGGCTCTCAGCGGCCCCTGGTGCTCGCCGAAGGGGCAGCATGAGCGTGGGGAGAGGAAAAGTTAAATGCGACTTGGAGCTGGGCCGTGGGGGGCAGGCTACAAGCAGAGGCCTCGGGACCTTCTGCCGTCAACCAGCCCCACCTTGGAGGACCCCTGGGAGACGAGTGGATGGTCTCAGGGCGGCTCTTAAGGGACGACGGTCCACTCAGCTCTTCTCAGGTGCCCAACACGCTGGCGAGGAAGGGAAGGGAACAGGGCAGGAGGCCTGGAGAGGCTAAGGGAGGTGCCTGGGGTTGCACAGGGAGTCTGTAGCAGAGCAGACGGGTCCTTTCAGTCCCCTGAAGGCTGCACCTGACTTTCTCCCTCCATCTTCAGTGAACCCGGCTGAGCCTGTCCAACCAAGCGGTGTGCCCCTTGCACAGTGTCAGGGCCATTTCCCCCTGGCTTTTTGTACTGAGCTGCACAACTTGTCTGCTCTTCAGGGTGGGGAATTGTGGGAAGGCACTGGAGGACCATTAGCATTCAAGGGACTTCTGCTGGTCCCATCCTTGGCTTCCACCCCTACCCCCTGCTAAATTTGCTCAGCCTCAAA